TGTCCAGTCTGTCCCTGCGCCGTCTCTCCGCAGTGCGACTGTCTCAGGGCGCAGGCAAGCACCAGCTCTGCATGTCTTTGATTCCTCAAGACGGTTTCAACTTCTGCCGACACTAAAGACTGAGACACAGGACCACGCGGCTGCTGCCTCTCAGCCCGTGTCCAGGGGTGTCACTCTGGCCTGGGAGTGTGTGTGGGCGTGTTTCTCCCCATTTCCTCCACTCCCAAAGCCGAGCTCCGGGACAGACTCCCACCAGGACTTAATGATGGAGGGACTGAAATACAGAGAATTACTTCTGAACACTGGCTGACATGAACATATTCTCTCGATCTTTTAAAATCAAAAATGCATTAAAGCTCAAATCAAGTTGTTATTCCTAATATTACTATGACATTTTGCAGTATGTTTATGCCAGACTTGATGGTATTTCTGTCCTGTTCATGACCATTCCAGCCTGTCAATGGAAGGGCTACTTTTGTAAAAAGCACATTTTATCCTCTGTAAACATAATATGGTGATTATTGTCTGAGAGTAACACATTTTTAAGTCCGAAATGAAGACAGGAAAAGGGTGGGGAACAAAAACATTCTAATATTTTATTTGTACATTGGGTAAGTTATTTTTTGTTAGATATTTTATCATGATGCTGGTTTCATGATGCTGATGTCATTGCTGCTTTGAATGTCTGCCTCGCTATTCCAGCAAAAGGTAGTAATGTCTGAAAATGATTCCATCATGCCAGGAAGTGAACAGGGGAAGCTCAGAAATGATGCACAAAGAAGGAATAGAACAAATGTTGGCTCAGAAAGTAAACAGATCTTAAAGAGTGCAAGTGAAATGGAGATGCACTGTATACAAGATTGACACCAGCTGAAGGTATGGATTTTTTCCTTTGGTCTTTTCAGGTTTGTGCAACTTAAATAAGCTTCCCTTCCAAGCTCCTGGAGAGCTGTGAAGTAGCTTTTTAAACTTTTATTCAGTTATTCAGTAATTTTTTTAAAATTAAGATTAAGTTTAGATGGTTCCTCTGACAGATGGTACTTTAATATGAAAAAAAATGCTGAAAAGTGTATAGGAGAAATAGAATGTGTTAACAATAACACAATAATACATAAACTGTGGGTAGATAGTGCTGTCTGTGTGCTGAATAACAGATTGTTCATTATATCCTTAGTTAACAGCCTGTGGCCTTCCCTGTGTGCACTAGAGCACTTGCAGTTTTTCACTGTAATCCGGCTGTAATCTAGGTTATAACTGAGAGTTGAAGCAAAACAGATTAGATCAGGCAGTTGTGTGGGGGGTCTTATCTTTGGATTCTACCAGGATCGATCACTTCTGACATTTTGTTCCTCAGAATATCTGTTTGATTGGCTAGTTGGATTTCTCTTTCCAGTTTCATTAACAGCTCTTGTAATCTGATTTTACCCTGAATCCAAACCAATTAGTTCTTCAGCTGTTCTGCATTTGTCGGGAAGCTGAATGAGCCGTGTGTCTCTCTTAAGGCACAAGAAGGGTGCAGTGTAGCTGCGTGGAGGGTAGGAAGTGATGCATTTTCTTTAAAAGACCATCTGGGCTCCTTCCCTTATCCAAATACAATCTTTTTCAGACATGCTGGCCAGTGCTTTAAAGGCAGGAATTGTTAGAATTAACCTGTCAATTCTTCAGCTGCTGTTCGAGAGTAGATGCAGTCTGTATCTCCTCAAAGGGAGGTACGCAGAGACTCTGGTGTGCTCTAACTGCAGACAAGATCCCTCATCTTAGCGTGCCCAGATGGTGATTTTGCAGCTGTAGTTACTGGATAAGTAAGACAGCCTGGCAGAAAAGTGGGGCTCTGGCAGACCTGAGAGGCTTAATTCCCTGACTGATCAGACTGATCTGATTGATCCCAGGTTACCTAACACTAACCTCGGATAAATGTGATAAACTGATTGTTTTGTGGGTGTAATGATTTTTCAACATCTGGCAAGCACCTGTAAAAATATGACCATCAAAGCTTTCTGCTCCAAAAAAATAGCCATATGAGAGTCCAAAGATATTGAGTCAATGTCAACACGTTGTTTAAAATAAATGTAAGAAGTTTTCATCCCTGTATTAATTGTTGTACATGTAAGCTTTCACAGTTACCAGGACAGCAGTCTTGCACTCTCAAACCTGTATCCATCCACAACCAACTGCCTGCACCAGGATGATGTGTCTCCGTGTCATTTTGCTGTGGTTTCTTAATGCTACACATGATTGTTAACTTGAGTTAATCATTGCTCTGTTCAGCCTGTACTACTGGGAACTGTTACTTGTGTTTCATGTGTATTTATAGGAAAAACTAAATAGCTGTATGACAGAGACGTAAAATTAAAGTACAGCTGTTTCCAAAAAATCTATCTGGTTTGAAAAGTGTCTAACTGAATCCAGTGTGTGGATCTGTGTATTTGAAATTTTGTCAGATATAGTTTAGGATAAGTACTGTGACAGTGTTCAAATCTGTTCATGGTTATAAACCAGAGAAAAACCAACCTCTGGGGGCATCTGGGCTGAAGGATCAGACAAACGCCACTGTGTTCTTACTTGTGGCATGCAGTGGAAGACATTGCAGTACTGCTTACGAGTCTCTTATAAGGAAGCACTGGAGATCCCTGGGAGTTTCTTTCAGGCTGGAAATAGTGTACATAAACCGCAAAGAAACACTCGGATACAAACTAGGATTATGAACGAGCACATTCATGTTGGTATTATGCAGTATTGCATCAGATACTTATAAGGAATCTGTAAGAGTTTCCTTGACACTAATGCAGGTATATTTGTTCTTGTATTCCTGTCCTTTATTGTTGGTATTTTATCTTCATTTTTAATTTTTGTCAGGATCCCAGTTATTGCAAAGCCACGAGGGCCTGCTAACTGCAAGAAATACAAGTCCCTATTCTCCAGGATTTCAGACATCATCTCTGCACCCCTCACTGACATGATTGCGCAATCCGGGGATTTCCTGTATCGGAGAGTAATTTGGCCCGCGGCGACAGGAAATTGTGAGGGAGAACTACAGATCCCGTCAGCCACTTCGCGCTTTTTCCCCCTATGATCGAAATGTGGCTGTTCTCTTCGACACTCTCCCCAAAAAAGCCAACAGCAACAGGAAGACTGTTGAGACTCTGGAAAAAATGCCAAGAACAGAAAAATCTTCAGCATAGAGGCAGTTGTTTCAGGAAGACTGGGAGTGCAATTGTTATTGGGTTTATTTTTGTTGCTGTGCCTCCTGAGATGACAGTACAATATACAGCGGCCCTAAAAGACTAAACATGAAAAAAGTGGATGAGCGGCAGTGCTCCGAAACTTTAATATTTCCCCGAATTACAGTACATCAGGTTCAAACATGAAAGCGGCGCCGCAGTGCTGCGGAGAGGCGCGTTACAGTGTCTCGGGGGAAAAGCAACAAAACATCAAGGCCTTTTTCTGAGAGTGCTTATTGTTTGTGTTTATAGTTTGTCAAATGCCCAACAATACTGCTGCACGCTATATTGTTGTGCATTTGATACATAAACTTTGATTGATTATTAGATCACTTTATTTTAAAAGTAATGGGTCAAGACAAAAAAAAGCAAAGTTTTTGCTCACATCTGAGCCTTTTCCTCAACACAGTCTCGTCTCGCCGCCAACGGGAGAGACCCACCGGTAGGGCTCCTGAGCGCCGGGAAGGAGCGGGTCTGTTCGCGCTCACACGGATGAAAACCCCAGGAGGAGAATTACCCCGGGGCCCGCCTCCACTGGTGCAGAAACACCCGTGTGGAAGTGGGTCACGCCGCGGACGCGGTCCCTAACGTCTCACTAGTCTCTTTCTGACCGAGGCCAGGTCAAGCCCATCCCGCCGGTCTGCGTGGGTGTGGCCGAGCTGCCAAGGGGGTCAAGGCACACTCGGGGAACACGCGTGGCGCAGAGCAGGCCCGACTGGTGGACACGGCACGCTGACCACCGCCGCAGCGCGCAGCGGGTCTCTGGACACACATCCCACGCCTCTGTGAAGGAGAGGAGCCAGCGATGAGACAAGGTACGCGGGCTGAATGATTCCTAAAGAGCCGACGCCCTGTGTATCTATACACAACACACAAAAACCACGGTCAGGGCTGCTGTCCAGTCTTTTGGGGTCAATCAAAAGCGTCAACTTGTCCAAATAACGGGTCCAGTTGGGTAGTTAAGGGCAGGGAAAACTTCTGGCCCCGGAGAAGCCAGATTGAGGAACAGAAGAGTTGCGTGTTTTAATTATTCATTATTCAATTTCTAAGTGTTACACGAAACGTTTATTTAAAGGGAGCATAAAGCAGAACAAACGACAAAAAATGCCACCGACAATAAAACCTAAAATAACGATGAATAAGAGGTGTTGGGGAAAGCGCCCCCTTGTGGTGACTCCGGGGAAGTGCGCCCGGCCCGTGCAGTCGCCGCAGCTCACGGTTCTTACACTGGTGCTCGTGCGGCAGGTGCGCAGTCAGGCTCTGGAACTGCGCAGATTTGCGCAGCTGGTGATGCTAGAAAACGCCCTTCGCAGACTGGCCGGTCGCCGACTGAGACACGGACAAATCTTATTCACAGCAGTCTCCTTAGAAATGTACAGAAGCTTATTAGCGCCAGGGAGGAAAAAACAATGTTTGTGCGTTTAAACGAGAAACCTTTTTGATTGAAACGACATGACGTTTAAGCTTATACGAAATAACTGCGTTAATTACTTCGTGAATAATATCGCCTACAATATTAATATCTCGCAAGATACATGCAGTAATATTGTCCCATACAAACTAGCACTGACTTTAATATCAGAGCAATACTGTCACAAAGGAACAAGTGAAGGTTCACTCCATGCTGAAAAGAGAAAAGGCTCCTTGCTCCTTTGCACCCTACGCATGCTGCTGCAGCTCCCCAACTGAACTACAGTATTGTCACAGTCCACTGTGTTCAAAAGAATTAAGCTAAGAGAGCAGGTGTACTGTATGTACATGAAGTAGAACACAATGTCAGTGAGCATCCCCGGGTTAAAGGTGTGTCGTTTTCACCGTTTCTGTGAAAAGTACTGTATGTAATGTAAGGATTATAGGTTCTTGGCTGCTCTTTAAACACGGGACAGAAGCCATTTAGGATAATTTGACAGCAAGTCAAACATAAACTGCAAGGCGAAATACACTAAGCACCAGAGGCCGAAAGAATTATCATCCAGATCAGTGTTGGAACTTTCAGTTTTATGTTTTCACACATTAAAAAAAAAAAGAGTTAAAAACACAACCAGCAGTTTTGCATGAACAGCTCGTGAAACTGTTACCACCGGGAAAACAGTCGTTAGTAGTTTTAAGCTTGACTCACGTAGCAAAAAATAAATAAATATTCAATGTCATGTCAAAGGACTAGGCTGCCTGTTTTACAATCTGAAAAGTGTGAGATCACTTCTGAAGAGTATTATTATTATTAGGAGAACATTTAAGGCAAAATACCAAGACAGAGATCTTTGGCAATTTCTTGGACAGAACACAGAGTGTGCACCAGGAATGCCCAACTCCAATTCCAGAGGACTGCGAGCATGATCATTTCCTAGGTGTCTTCTGACAAGCCAGAGCTTCACAGGTCGGAGAAAGAAATATGGTGATTCTTTAAATCAGGGCATACAGAAGACAAATAGGATGGAAACGGTGTCATCCCCCGGTAGGACTGCACAGCCCCAAGCCTGCCCTGACAATGACTATAGCCTGACCACTGCAGTCTGCCAGGAGAGAGCTCAGACCGCTCGGACCCACTCCTGCACTGCTGGCACAGGGATCTGAATCTACTGGGCCGAGCCGGGACCACGCGACCCACTGGCAGCTGAGAGGCTGGTCAGAGCATCTCATCTCTCCGTGCAACCCCAACTCCACCAGACCAGCACCCGAGCAGAGCACAGAATTATGAGGTGGGGACACTCAGCTCCCTTCCTCACTGAATGAGTGATTAAATATGGCCCGTTAACTTTTCACCATATCTTTGGCAGAAAGCTCAGGGCAGAAAGCAACATGGGAAGAACCTGCACACTTCTAAAAATACTGACAGATGCCCAAGTCCCTCCACTGAATCTCAGAGCCTGCAGCTGTGAGGCATCACAGAGCAACGTCATACAGTATACAGGAATTGCCAGTCATCCTGTCTGAAACAGTAAAATACAAACAAGCTAACTAACGGTCTCATTCCTGAAGAAGAGTAAGCTGAGAATCTACACACCTAAAGCACACGTCAACAAATGTCTGAATTTCCTTTTAATCTAAATTCTTATAAAAATGTATGTAGCTCCTGCTTTAGGTTTCTCTTACATGATTTAGATTTTCAGCTGCAACTCAAAAATGTCAATCTGTGCAAGTTTATCTTTGCTTCATAATGCCATGTCCACGTTAGCAATATTTGTTACGCTACATTTCAAACATGAAAAATGCGTGTGAGCATTTCCCCAACTACGGGTTTAGATTTTTGTTTGAAAAACATTTTACCATAAAGAATGGAGTGTTTCCCAGTAATTCCCAGATGTTCACAGACCTGAGCTTGGATGTGTCTGCTGTTCTTTTCTTCCCAATACTATTACTGAATGCCAGCGTAATTTCCCATGAGATCCTAAAAGCATAAATATTCCTGCAGGTTCAAATGTTTTTCACTTCATTTTACTTCACTTAAAAAGCTGCGACAAACCGTGGTGAGACAGAAGACACTTTCTGGGTGCAGATGCTACACAAATCAATGCCCACGTCTGCCTTCTCCAACGTGCTCTGACAGCACAGGCACCGGGACCAGCGATGGCGAGGTTTCAAGAGATCACGGAGGGCACGTGTTTGGACATGGGGTTTCGGACTGTACAAAACTTCAGAAAAAAAACGTAGGCGTGGAAGGCGCACGGTCGTTATTTTGGAAGAACATGACTCCCCCCCCACAAAGAAATTTCAGTTTGACAGTTCTGTGTGGAACCAATTCCAGCACACTTCAGCACAGCAGGCAGTCCAGACACACCGCTGATCAGTCCTAGTGAGTGGGCTCAGTCTCAGTGCAGGGGCTGGAGGGGCTCATGAAGCAGCAGTGGTTCCAGCTCTCCGACACTATTTTTGGATCTAAAATGTGTTATGCATTTTTTTCCAGTTACTACCAAGTGTCCTGAAATGATTCTTTAGAATCCTGGGCTGCATTTCAGCTCAGGCAGGCCAGACGGCCACCTTATGCTTGTGCAACAACGAAATCCTCTTTCTCCACTAAGCGCCC